AAAGAAAATCATACTCTGGTTTCTCTTCAGATTACTTGACCCGAACTCACTGCAGAGCCCGTTTTTTACCTACTTTTAATAAATGTGATGGGGCTGGGGAGATGACTCAGTAGAATAAGTGCTTGGCCTGAGTTCAATCAATGGCCTGAGTTCAATCCCCGGTTCCACCAAAAAATAAATAAATAAATAAATAAATAAATGTGAAAATTTACCACCAAAGAAAAGGGGCCTTGTTTTAGACTCAACAGTGCTGCAGCTCTGGCATATTCCAGGTGTACCTACGCTGTCCAGGAAAGACATGCCCTGAGTCTCTTGCTGCAGCGTCACAGCCCTGGCGCTCATCCCAGCCTGCTCACCTGCCAGCCCTTGTCGGCCGTCCTGTAGTACGGGTAATGTTTGGTGATGTGTGCGTAGATGCCGCTTAGTGTTAGCTGCCTGTCCGGGGCTGAGGATATGGCCTGCACAATCAGCTGGGCATAGGAGTACGGTGGCTTTGACTCATCCTGCACAGAAATAGGGACCGAGGGTCACTTGGCAACTGCCTCCATGTCACCAGCCCATGAGGAAAACCTCCCCACAAGGGTCACCTAGGTCTGGACCAGCTCTGCCCCAGAGACGCCCAGCTCAGTGCACTTGCATTAACTCGCAGTTGTTGCTTCTGCCTTGTGGGAAGGAAAAGCTATTTCTAGTGTAGTTTAATTCTGAAGCATCCTTCCTCCCTTGACACATTATGTCTGGTCCCAAGTAGAAGTGAACAAAAGCACACACTTATAAGGAAGATATGTTCTTCTCAGGAGCAGACAGGGTGATGAGCAAGGTTTCAGCAGTGACCTCAACTCAAGGAAAATGGCCACATTTATCCTTTAGGCTGGCCAAGGCTGGAAGGTTACTGGCTCTACTGGCTACCCAGCCACAAATGTGCCCTAAAGCACCATCTGTGCCACCCACTGGGCCCTACTGCCTGGTCCTGTCAGCACAGGTGCTAAGTCTCCAACCTTGGGGCTGTCCCCGCCGGACGTGTCCGCCTGCTGCTCTGAGGCAGCCTTCGCTGCAAACTCCGCAGCCAGCTGCAGGTCTGAGGTTACATTCTGAACATAGCGGTAGCCAGAGGACCCAGCTCCACGTGGACTGGCCGGGCAAGAGTTGGGGACACTGTAGAAAGGAAAGGACATATGTTAAACTCTTGACTCTAGAGGGAGGACTCTGCAGGGGCAGGTTCCAGGACCACCCTGGATGATGGGGGCCTTACCACTGTCCCCACCACGCATAGCAACACTCCACTGTGCAACCCTCTTCAGAGGATGGGGAATACCCAGGGGAGAGGTCCCACAGCGTGGGCAGTCTCTGCCTGGGCCCCACGTCTGCAAGCAGGGCTGCTGAGGTCCTCCTGCCCACCGAGGTGGGGCAGCTCTCACCTGCCCAGGCTTACCCATCAGGCAGGGCCAGCTCCAGGCAGGAGGACCAATAAAGTACCTCCCAGAGCAGCCGGGTAATACACAAGTGTCCACAAGATGGCACCCTAAGGAAAGGTTTGGGATGGAGAGCAGCTCCTCGGGATTTTATACAGAAACACGTGCTTGGAAAGCACCTGGGACCTGTGGGCTTAAGAAGCAAGCACAGAGCTGGGCATGGCAGTGCGTGCTCATCATCCTGGCGCTCTGGGAGCCTGAGGCAAGAGGAGCACAAATTTGAGCCCAATCTGGGTACTGAGTGACTCAGTGAGACCCTGTCTCAAAATACAAGAGAGCTGGGTTTAATCTCTGTCTGTCTCTGTCTGTCTGTCTGTCTGTCTGTCTGTCTCTCTCTCTCTCTCTCTCTCTCTCTCTCTCTCACACACATACACACACACACATATCAAGGAATCTGTAGTTTGTTTCCTCTCATTAGTGAAGACAGGCTTTAGTTATCAAACCACATCAAAACCTTGATTCTGAAAATGATTTTTATTCAAAACATTCTGAGAAAACCAAAGGGAGGTGGATGTGGGTGCTAAGATCAAAAGTCCTCACGTGGTTGCTCTGCCCACGTGGGTCCTGCCTCATACACCACATCGTCCCACCCAGAGCCTGTGACGGCACAGGCAGGACAGATGCTCCTCTGCTTTGTGCCCTGAGATGGCCCACGGCCCTGGGGAGCGGTGGCTCTCCCTGTACCTGGCTCAGAGCTCCTGCCAAGTCCTTGTTGGCCCCACATCCAAACACCATGTCTCCCACATGCACTGGGACTCAGCCCCACGCTGCCTCCTCCCTCCTCAGCACACTGCCTCCTCTCAGGCGCTGCAGGACCCCACAGGGTCCTGATCTGTCTCCCTTTCAGCAGCAATCACCTGCACAATCAGGGCTCAAGAAATACTTGCTGCATGCAGCAAGGGATGAATGAAAAGCAGAATTCAACTCAGAAAACCCTGTGGCTGATGCTGACAGAATCTCGAAGCTTGGTCGCTACCCTTTCAGAGATGAATCTGCTCAAGCCAAGCAGAATTCGCAGCATTCTACTTTATGATTTAGACTTTTTTAAAAAATCATTTATTTATCATTTATGTATTTATTTAATTTGACATAGGGTCTCACTATGCAGCTCAGACACAGTGATCCTTCTGTCTCAGCCTCCATAGTGCTGGGATTATAGGTGTGTGCTACCACGCCCAGTTTCCAGGCTGGCATGGTGTGCCCAGGGTTCAGGGGCCAATTTGGCATGTGGTACTGGGGATCAAACTCAGGCCCTTGTGCTTGCCAGGGAGGCACTTAGACTGCTGAGCTATCTTCCTAGCCCTTAATTTATGACTTTTTGATGGTATCAGGAGTTGAACCCAGGGCCTTCACATTGAGTTACTCTTCATTCTGCTTTTTTTTTTTTTAATTTTGAGACAGGATCTTTCCAAGTTGCTCACGCTGGGCTCAAATTTGCAATCTTCCTCCTGTCTCAGCTTCCTAAATCTTTGAGATTACACAGGAGTGCACCATCATGCCAGGCTTCTAACTTGAGAACTTCGCTTCCCTTTCCACCTGATTTCCAAATCAGGAAATTTTCTAGAAACAGGTAAATCTTGCTTGTGCAGAAATTTTTCCAATGTGTGCCCTGGTTACACCTCCAGCTCCTTAGAGAGGCCTGTGTTCCCAGGACCCAGCTTAAGCTTCTGTCATGCAGACATATGCTAAGCAACAACTATACGTGACTGGAGGGTAGAGCAAACATAAGACTTCTGAATTTGATTCTGAACCTGAAATACAACCCACACGTGCAGGTGGGGCAGGGACAGAAGCACTCACTAGTAACATCTCACACACTCAAAAGTCAGGTTTTCAAATGCATCCATTTGGGTGCGGTGGCCCAGAGGTGTCTGAGGAATGCAATGGGAAGAAGATGTGGGGCAACTTACAGGACTACAGCGGATCCTGCAATGGATCCAGGCCCTGGGAAGGTGCTTGGGCACGGAGAGGCTGCCCTACGGCCTAGGGCCACACTACAGACCACAGGGCCCCAGCGTCGCCCTTGTACACAACCAGCCTCTCTGCAAGAGACCAGGGAAGGTCCAGCTCAAGTGGGAGCTGGCCAGGGGAAGCTCATCTTGGACACCTTGCACACAGGCACTGAGGCAGTGAGGGCTTCTGTTCTGTGTGCTCTGGCAAGGGCGCATCCTCTGAGTGCTGATAATTCTGGAGGACTGTGGGCAGCTGTGGGAAGGCCCATGCTGCCTGCACCCACAGGTGCTTTGTACGAACTCAAGTGCAGGGCTAGATGTGCCAGGTGTGGTGGTGCACATCTGTAGTCCAGCTCTTCTGGAGGCCAAAGCAAGAGGACTCCAAGCTGGGGCCCAGCCTGGACAACTCACACACTTACCAAGACTGTCTCCCAAGAAAAAGTGAAAGGGGCTAGAGATGAGCTCAGGGAAAAGCTCTGGGTTTAATCCCTAGTACAAAATTTATTATTATTGTTATTATTTTTTTTGGCGGAACGAGGGATTGAACTCAGACCCTTGTGCTTGCCAGGGAAGTACTTATTCTACTGAGTCATCTCCCCGGCCCCAAAATTTAACAAGACAGAGAAAAGAAAACCAGGAATGTGAGTCTGTATCCTGCAGGGAAGCCCCAGGCGGAGGCCTCTCTCCCTCCGCATAGGATGGGCCAACAGAAATAAGACACCAAGCTTGCAAACTCCGGCTCAAAAACGGGAAAAGGCAGAGCAATCCTTTGGCTGCTTTTCAGCCTGGGTTTCCCAGCAGCACCAGGTCAGGATGATGCTCACTCAGCTTTTCCGGCCTGTGGGGCAGCTCCTTTCTCAATAAACCCCATTCAGCTATCCCTTGAGCTGGCTGCAGCCAGGGCTGCGCCTGGGACAGGCCACCTAATGCCACACTTCAGGGGCTGTGGGAAGGGAGATGCCAGAGACTGAAAAAGCTCAGGTATGTCCAGTGAGCCACATGAAGACCAGTGCAAATGCCCAGGCCTTGCTGAGACGGGAGCATCTGAGCTCCGGCCACCTGAGAGTGAACCCAAATCGCAACCCAAGTGCCAGGGACACAAATGCGGTATGCCAGTCCACTGCAAAACTCTTACAGCCAGGTGTGGTCATCCCTGCAATCCCAGCACTCATGCTGGGGCAGGAGGATACCACAAGTCAGAGGCCAGCTTGGGCTACACAGTCAGTTCAGGGCCAGCCTGAATTACAAAGTGAGACTGTTTTTAAAAAACCAAACCAAACCCAACAGAAAACCAACTCTCTAACAGCATCTGGGGAGGGTCCTTAGAAGACATGTGCGTACTATGTCTCCTCAGAGCCGGGATCTACCTCTGTCTCTCCCCTGATATTCTCATGTCCCATCATCCCATGTCCTGCATCCCATCTCTACACTGTGTGGAAAGTAGAAAGGCCGAAAGAGTGTACAAGCTCCGAGTAGCCAGCCTGTCTCAAGTCTGTCCCTGCAGTGGCCTGCTCTGGCCAGGATAGCCCTACAGTGGCCCCTACAGCGTGGGCCATACCTCAGTGCCTGGCCTGGCCACACTGGTGCCTCCCAAAGCCAGGGTGTTGACAGGCAGGGCAGCAGGAACAGAGGAGCCTCACTCAGTCTTACAGGGAACTCAGGCTGAGGGGACAAATCTGCCACGAACATCCCTGCCCCAAACAACCAAGTGAAGCCAGGACGGCCATCTTGGGCCCATGGCTACCACCCTCCAGATGACCCAAGCCCCACTCTGACTGGGACCAACCTCTGAGCTTTCTTCCAGTTTTAGCCCTGTAGTCCAAGTGGAAATGGGGGGCTGCTGGGCAAGAGGGGCAATGTGGCTGAAATAAAAAGGGGATACTGCATGTGGACCCCAAAAGACAGGCATAGCCAGAGCTCAGGTAGGTAACGCCCTATACGTGTGGACAGTCAAGGAGACGGGAGGGCTGAGCACCCTCAGTGCCTCCTACGGTCCCACACATCTAGGAGTCTCGCTAGTGGAGGATACTCAGGGCCTGGTCCCAGTCCTAGCTGCTGCATTCTTATGCACAATGATCAGCCATGCAGTGAGCAGAGCCAGGCAGGACCCCCGCAGAAGAAAACAAAGAACAGAGGGACACAGATAAGGCCACCATGCCAGGGAACAAAGCAATGCACAGCTTGTATCCCCAGAAAGGGAGAAAGGATGTACCCATGAGGGGGTAAGAATATTATAGGCATACATGGAGAAAAGAAAATGTTCTTTCAAAATAAAAATACAAACAAGTAATAAGAGAAAACAAAATCTAGCAGAGTGCAACAGGAGGGATGGGACAGTCCCTCATAATGCAGAGCATGCAGTGAAAACAAAGATGAGGGGGGGCACGTGAGGACATCAGCAGGTCACTGGGCACCTGGACACCAGAGAGGGGGTGAGGATATGGGAAGACCTCACAGGCAGGAAGACAATGCCCAGGGCTGTCGAGAGGACCCTCAGCAGAAGGGCCCACTGAGGATGGAGACTCTCCAAGCCTATCGTGGTGGCAGTGCCACATACCAGGGTACCTTTGGGAGCCAGAGGTGGGGGTGAGGAGGATGTCAGGAATTGGACAGTGTCCGACTTCATAACAATAACTTTTGAAGCCAGAAAAAGACTAAATCTTGTGTGTGTAGGGGTGGGCAAGTGTCCAACCTGCATCTCTCTAGAAAACTATCCATCTATGGGAATGAA